AGCGAGCTGTTGCTGGATAACTCCTGCGTGGCGTCACCTGCCGCCGCTGATCCAGCTGCTGTCTGCGTCGCCGTTGCTGCTGGCTGGCTCTGGCGCCCAGACTCCGCCGCTGTTGATTGCTGAGGTGGAAGCGCATCCGCCGCCGCTGGTGCTGGCTGAGGTGCAGCCGCCGCCGCTGGCGCTGGCTGAGGTGCATCCGCCGCCGCTGGTACTGGCTGAGGTGCATCCGCCGCCGCCGCTGGTTCTTGCTGAGGTGGGAGCGCCGCCGCCTCCGCCGCCGCTGGTGCTGGCTGAGGTGGATCCGCCGCCGCTGGTGCTTGCTGAGGTGGAAGTTCCGCCGCCGCTGGTGCTTGCTGAGGTGGAAGCTCCGCCGCCTCCGCCGCCTCTGGTGCTGGCTGAGGTGGAAGCTCCGCCGCCGCCACTTGCTGAAGTGGGCCCGCTGATGGCTGAATCGCTTCTTGCTGAGGGGGGGGGGCGCCTGCGCCGCTGCCGATGCTGGCTGAAGCTGGGGCCCATCGTCACAGATACCGTCCGCGCCGTTGTCGTCGGTTGCTGCCTCGCCCAGCCTGCTCCTTTTGTTCGCGCGGTCATCCTCCACGACCTCCTCGCCAGCCATCTGCGAATGCACCGTGCTGCGCCGCCTGAGCCGCTCCTCCCTGGCCTCCTGCAATTCTACATCCGTTGGGCAGCGATCATGCAGCCAGGTCCCTGAGCTCTCCTGGCGGAGCGCGCATACTCCTCCCTCCTCCTCATCCTCCTCCTCCTCCTCCTCATCATCATCATCATCAGCATCATCATCATCATCATCATCATCATCATCATCATCATCATCATCATCATCATCCCTTTCCTCCTCCTCATCCTCCTCCTCCGCCTGCCCGTCCCCTCCTCCCCCATTCGCCTCCTCCTCCTCCTTCACCTTATTCTTTTCCTCATCCTCCTCATCCTCCTCCTCTGCCTCCTGCTGTTCCTCCTCATCCTCATCCTCCTCCTCCTCCTCATCCCCCCCTCCCGACATCTAGACAGAGGTTTTCATTTGGACTCGAAAGGCGGTAATGGATCTAAAAGAGAACCAATGTCTAGATGCCCATTGGGAGTGTTTCGGAATTAGAAGGAGACCGAGCGTCCTCGCCAGCACCACCAGCACCCTCATCGAAGATGTCTGACTCCGAGGTCTCGCCCGTGAGATCGATGCGCGCCGAACTGCCAGCTCCAGCCGACAGATTGCCACCAAAGTTTACTGGGATCGGGGCCCCCTCTGGAAGATAGTCCTCGCGCGTGATTGTCGTCTTGCCCATTGCTGCGTCCCCGAGCCTCCCGAACGCCCCACTGAATGGAGGAACTGACATGTGTGATGGCGTGCCTTGGGGGTCGAGGGGAACACCTGTAAGATCTGCCTTGAGCCTTCACGGTTTCGAACTGGTTTCGCGTGTTTATCATATTCATCTTCTTCCTCCTTCCCCTCCCCCTCTTCCTCCACCCCGCCCCTCACCCTCATCCTCCGAATCCTTCTCGTTTTGGAGCTGGTTGGCCCTTCGGGCCCTAACGAACCCACGGCCAAGTCGCAGACAACGCTTTGCCCTGAGGAACCTTACGGAGGACGCGCAGTAAGGATGCCCTTCCTCCTCGTCATGTTCCTCCGCTTCGCCCTACTCATATCTCGTCCCTGCCCTATCCTCCTCTTCATTCTCCGAATCCTTCTCCTCTTGGGAGAGGTGGTTCCAATGCCAAGCTCCAGACTGCAAACTGCCCCAAGAAATGTTGAACGCGAACCTTGGGACCCGTTTTGGCTGCGACGTTCTCGGGCTTGATTTGGAGACGTGGAAGGTAGGGCTTTACTTGGAGAAGCGTAGACTTGGGATCACGTGTTGGGCCCATCAGAAACTCACTCGGAGGCCGAAACCAATGCGGCACCTCAGATGCAGACGGAAGCGGGGAGAACGGAGGGAGAAGGAGGACAAGAAATGAAAGTTGTCTTTTTCCACCACGCTTGCGAGATCCATGGTGAAGAAGTCCCGCACCGCGTCGGAGTCCACGGGTAGTAATTAATCCGCACCTCCCAGCCGCACGTTTCACACGGAGGGAGGAGAGAGAAGAGGAGAGAGGGCAGAGGGGGAATGAGGAGAGGAGAGCAGGGCCAGTCAGAGGGGGAATGAGGAGAGGGTGAGAGAGGGAGTTAGTAGAGGGCAGTAGGTAGGGAAGGGCCAGCGGAAAGGGGGAGAGTGGAAGCAGACAGAGACAGGGAGTGGAGACCAGAGGGAGAAGGAAGGCGGCAGTTCGGGGGGAGATCAGGACTGAAGTATCGGGCAGGACCAGGGGTGAGGAGGAGAGGGCAGCCACAGAGGAGGGAGCAGGGACGAAATCGAAACGAAACAATGTAGGATTTTTTTTAATTATGAAATAATAAGGAGAAAGGAGATCTCGCATCTCACAAACCGTAACATCAGCAACGCAAGCATAGCATGGAATGCAATGAGAACGATGGCTGCAGAACAGAACGAGGATGGGGGCAGTGAATGAGGAAAGGCGGGTGGCACAGTCAACCCTTCATTGAACCCCTCTCCCATGCGCACCGCCATCGCCAGCATCGGGCTCCTCGTCCTTCTTCTTGGCGCTGAGGGCCTCGGTCACCAGCGCGTCGCGCACCTTGTACAAGCCCTCCTTCGGCAGCTCACCTCCCCGCTGCCCCTCCTCCCCACGCCCTCACTCCTCCTCCTATCCCCCTCCCCCCTTCACCCTCCCCCTCCCCCTCCCCCTCCTCGTCCTCCTCACCCTCCCTCCCGTTGCCTCCATATCCCTCCTCCTCCTCCTCCTCCTCCTCCCTCTCCTCCTCCTTCTCCTCCTCCTCGTTCTCATCATCGTTCTCCTCTTTCTCCTCCCTCTCTCCTGCTGGTCGTCCTCATGCCACGACCCCACCCCCTGCGTCACCTCTGTTGTATTGCTCCGCGAGCTTCAAAATGATGCTCTGCGAGTCCTCGTCCGTCAGGTTCGTGAAGGGGTTCACTGTAACCTGCACGAGCTGCTTGTTGTTCTCGAGCAGCGCGTACAAGATCTTGCGATCCTCTCGACGCGCCGTTCCGCTCCCCCACCCCCAGCCTTTCCTCTCTTGCTGTCGTCTTCCGCGAGAGGAGGAGGGGGGAGAGGAGAGGGGTAGGTGGAATCCTGGAAGGTGGATAATGAGGAAGAGAAGGGATGAGGGAGGAGAGAACATGGAGGAGGGAAAAGGGAGGAGGGAGCAGGAGGAGGAGGAGGGAGCAGGAGGAGCAGGAGGAGGAGAAGCAGGAGGAGCAGTGGGGAGTGAGGAGGCAGTAGACCCCTCGTCCCGCCCCTCACTCCTCCTCCTCCTCAGCCTCCTCCTCCTCCCCCTGCTCCTGCTCCTCCTCCTCCTCCTCCTCCTTCTCCTCCTCCTCCTCTTCCGCCTCCTCCTCCTCCTCCTTCCCCTCCTCCTCCTCTCCTCCTCCTCCTCCTCCTCCTCTTCCTCCGTCTCATCCTCTTCCCCCCGCTCACCCTTCATCCAAGCCGCCGGCGCCGTTATCGACCCCCCGTCTGCTCCTGCGTCGACGCCCAAAGGGCGTCCTTCTTCTTCACCACCCTCAGCCCTTTGTCTGGATTCGCCCACACTGAGCCTCCTCGCTTTGCTTTGGCCGCCTCCTCTGCTGCCTGCTCCATCTCTGGAATGTCAGCTGGCCTCAACCCTGGGACCTCGAAGAGTCCTCGCTTGAACATGCACTTCACTATGTCATTGTCCTCCTCCACCCGCCACTGGCTCGAGAACTCGGGGGGGCCCCACTTCTTCGCGCTGAGCCTCGTTCGCATCATGGCCTCCTTCCTTGACGCCACGAACTTTACCTCGAACTCCTCTCCTCCTGTGTCTCCTGCAGGTCCTGGGGCCGCACCTCCTGTGTCTCCTGCAGGTCCTGGGGCCTCTCCTTTGTCTCCTGCAGGTCCTGGGGCCGCACCTCCTTTGTCTCCTGCTGGTCCTGGGGCCGCACCGCCTGCTGGTCCTGGGGCCGCACCTCCTGCAGGTCCTGGGGCCGCGCCTTCTGAAGGTCCTGGCCTCGCCCTGGCCTGCTTTCCATGCCCTGGGGGGCTCGGGGATGGAGTCGGAGGCAGCCTGCGAGCCTGCGGTGCTCTAGTCGCAAGCGGGAGGTCGTTCACCATGTCGAACATCGAGGCGGGAATCTCATCGAACACTTCTGGCTCAGCTGCCTCCTCCTCCTTCCTCTGGCGCGGACGCTTCCTCTGAGCATCCTCGCGGCCATCCTCTATCGGGCGCTTCTGCTTGCCCCCCTCACAGCCGACGCCGTCAGCCTTGTCGTCGCTCTCTTCTGGCGCTGGCTCCTCCTCTGCTTCTTCCGCTGGCTCCTCCTCATCTTCTTCCGCTGGATCCTCATCTTCGTCTGGCGCTGGCTCCTCTGCTGCTTCTTCCGCTGGCTCCTCAGCTGCGCCCGCCGCCGCCGCTGGCCTCTTGCACGCAGCTGGCTTCTTCATTGCAGCTGGTCTCTTTTTGACGCTGTCGCCACCTTCCGCCTTCTGGCCGTCGTCGCTGCCGCCGCCGTCCACTTCCTCGATCTCGTCGTCCTCGCCGTGCCCCTGCGACTCGGGCACCACCAAGTGCATGTTCGTCCCCAGGACATCCTTCAGCCACTTCGGTGGTCCCGACTTCCGAGATCCTCGGCCGCGCGGGGTGCCCCTCCCTCCCTCAGCCTCTGTCTCTGTCCGAGGACGGCGGCGTCGACAACAGCGACGATGACGTCGTCGCATCGGCGACGACGCCGAGGACGATGACGAGTCGCCATCGTCCTCAGCGTCGCCGTCGATGAGAGGAAGGAGGGGGAGAAGGAGGAGGAGGAGGAGGAGGAGGAGGAGGGCCAGGAGGAGGGGGAGGAGGAGGGGGAGGAGGGCGAGGCTGAGAAGTGGGAAGAGGATGATGAGGATGAAGATGAGGAGGAGGTTGCGGAGGATGACGACGCCGAGGACGATGACGACGACGCCGACTGAGACGACGGACGACAGGACAGAGACGGAGAAAGGACAGGGACAGAGCAGAAGGACAAGCAAGCAAGGCGGCTCCTGCGTCTCGCAGGTGCCGCACCGCCGTCCGAATCCGCTTCGCGGTCTTCTCGGTCCAGGTGTCTCTCACCTCCCCTCCGCTTTATCGTTGCAGAGGGCTCAGGATGGAGAGGGGTGAGGGCAACCACGATGCCAACAAGGGCGAACGCGGGGGGGGGAGGAGGCGGACGAGGAGGAGAAGGAGGAGGAGGATGAGGAGGAGGAAGAGGAAGCTGAGGAGGATGAGGAGGATGAGGAGGATGAGGAGGAGGAGGAGGAGGAGGAGAGGGAGGAACAGGAGGAGGAAGGACAACGGTGACGGTGAAGACGACGGTGACGATGAAGACGACGAGGGGCCTCCTCCCTCCTCACGCCTTCCTCCTTCATCGTCCTTCCTCTTCCTCATTCTCCTCCTCCTCCCTTTCCTCCTCCTCCGCCTCCTCCTCCTCCTCTTTCTCCCTCCTCCCTTCTCCCTCCTCCCTCCTTCCTCCTCACTCCTGCTCCTCCCTCCTCCCTCCTGCTTCCTCCCTTCCCACCTTGTCGGGCATCTTCCAGTCCTTCAAGTCGTGGGTCAGCTTGAGCGCGTGCATCATTTTTTTCTGCGAGATGCTGCCACCGTTCGAAATGAGGAGCACGGCACTCAGCAAGTCGACGTACTCCCCGCCAGTGGGGTGGGGGGGGGGAGGATGGCAGTAAAGCGGGTGTGGTCAGGAAGGGTTGGAGGGAAGATGGAAGGAAGCACGCGAGGTGAAACGTGGCACGTTGAGGAGGGGAGGGCGTCGGGGATCCGATGAAGGAGGGTTCGGTCAGGTGAAGGGGGAGGGTTGAGGGGAGGGCAGGGAGAGTGAACGATGGGAAACGCCCCGACAGTTCAGGTGAGCAAGGGCTCATTGGGCAAATGGGGGAGCGAGACAGGGGCGACGCATCCTCGTCTTCCTCGTACTTCTACCTCCTTCTACTTCTACGTATCCCACTCCCTCTCCATTAGTGCCTTCCTCATCCTACGTATCCCGCCCCTCATCATCCTCCTCCTCTTCCTCCTCCTCTTCCTCTCTTCCTCCTCCTCATCCTCCTCCTACTACTACTACTACTACTAATACTACCACCACTACTACTACTACTACGACTACTACGACTACTCCGACTACTACGAGTACTACGAGTACTACGACTACCACTAGTACTACTCATCCAGCTTCCTCGCCTCCTCCTCCTCTTGCCTCCTCACCCTCCTCCCCCGCATTCTCAACCCCCTCCCCCTCCTCCTGTGACCTACCCAACTCCCACTCACACCCTCGGGTCCTCTGTCAGCGCCTCGGGCTTGGGCGCGCAGTTCCGCATCTTCTCTGGGTAGAGGAAGAAGTCGCTGTCCTTGCGCACGTGCCCCATGACCGCCTAGGGGGGAGGGGGTGGTGGAGGGATAAGCGACGACGAAGGGATGAGGAGAAGGAGGAAGAGACGGAGGAGGAGGCGGATGAGGAGGAGAAGGAGGGGCCTCCTTCTCCTCCTCCTCCTCCTCATCCTCCTCCTCCTCTTGCTCCTCCTCCTCCTCATTCTCCTCCTCCTCCTCCGCATCGTCTTCCTCGCCCTCCGTTCCTGGAGGACCCCTGTATGCCTTCCTGGAGGAGGGGCCCGCCCTCTCCCATGGACATCTCCCATCGCCTCATGGCCTCGAGGAGGAGGAGGAAGAGGAGGAGGAGGAGAAGGAGGAGGAGAAGGAGGAGGAAGAGGAGGAGGAGGAACACGATAACGCGGGGCGCCTTTGCCAGCGCCGCTGCGCTCGGCGCGTCGGTGGCCTCGTCGTCGTCGGACATGGCGGCTGGCCGAGAGGGGTGTCGCAGCCCAGCGAGGGAGGAGGAGGAGGAGGAGGAGGAGGAGGAGGAGGAGGAGGAGGAGGAGACGGAGGAGGAAAAGGACAAGGAAGAGGAGGAGGAGGATGAGGAGGATGAGGAGGAGGAGGATGAGGAGCAGAGCCAGCAGCAGCAGAAGCAGCAGCAGGGGCAACAGCAGGCGAGGGAGAAGACGAGGACGAGGATGAGGACGAGTACGTGGAGGAGGTCCCGACCCCAGTGCCCCGCGCGGCGCGGCCCGCGATCCTCAGCCGCGGGCTGCGACGGGGCGAGCCTGCTCTTGCTCTTACTTTTGCCTCTCATCCTCCTCCTCCTCCTCCTCCTCTCATCCTCTGCCTCTCCTCCTCCTCCTCCCTCCCCATCCTCTCGCTCCTTCCTCCTCCTCCTCCTCCTACGCTCCTTGCTCCTGCGGCTGCTCCCTTCTTTCTCCTGCCTCCTCCCTCCTCCGTCTCCTTCGTCATCCTCACCAGGGCGGGCTTGCATTTTTGTCGCCCTAGAGCGCGCGCCACGTTGAGCCGAGCGGACTGCCTCCTCCTCTCCTCCTCCCTCTTCACCTCCTACTCTTCATCCTCCTCCTCCCCTCCTCTCTCATCCTCATCCCCCCTCCTCTCCTCGCCCTCTCTCCTCCTCCTCTCCTTCCTCCTCCTCTCCTCCTCCTCCTTCTCCTCCTTCCTCCTCCCCCCTCCTCCCCCCTTTCTCCTGCCTCCTCCTTCTCCTCCTCCTCCTCCTCCTCTTCCTCCTTCTCCTCCTCCTCGTCCTCCTCCTCCTTCCCCTCGTCCTCCTCCGTCTCCTCGTCATGCTCACCAGTGGTGGGCCTGCATCGCCCTCAGAGCGCGCCACATTGGGCCCACCCGACTGAAACCTCCTCCTCCTCCTCTTCCTCACCCTCCTCCTTTTTCCTACCCTCCTCCTCCTCTCCTCCTTCTCCCCCTCCTCCTCCTCCGTCTCCTCCTCCTCCTCCTCCTTCCCTTTGCCCCCCTCCACTTTCTCCCTCGCTTTCTCTCCTCGAGAACACAAGGGGCGCAAACCCCTTCGATGCCCGATCCGCCCACGCTGCCACAAGCGCGTTCGGGGCGTGTGAACGGCATTACACGATACATCGCAGACCACATGTTATTTCTATGTGCGAGATATCATAAAACATAACAAACTACATAACATACCGTATCATACAATCTAGCACATCATATGATGGCTTAGAACAAAACATGGCACACTATGTAGCATATGATATAACATGTACTTTAACGTAACATCACATATCGCAGATCATAGCACGTTACATATCATAGCTTGTTACATAGCATAGTATATAACCTTAGATCATATAACGTAACATCGCATATAACGTAACATAGCATATAACGTAGCACATAGCGTAGCACAGCATAAAAAAGTTCACGTCGCGTCGCAAACAAGTTCGGTCGATGCAAAAATTTTGACCGGCGCAAAAAACTTTGACCGACGCAAATTTCATGCGCGGACAAACATGTTAAAGCTTGTCGCAAGAATCTTGCGTCATCCACCCTCTGGGGGGGTGGGCTCGAGAGCCCATCCCCTCCCCCCTGGCCTCGAGGGGCCCTTGTGTTGTTGTTAGTTAACAACCGCCTGCCTTCTTCTCAGCCTGCGTCTTCGCTGCGTTGGCATGCTTCAATGCCGCCTTGGCAGTCTTCACTGACCGCTGGCGCTCCTGCTTTTCATCCTGCAGCTCAAAGCGCACCCGCGCTTCCATCGCGATCGTCTTCGCTGATGTTCCCATGGACACGTGAACCACAAATGGGGACGCGTAAGCCACGCGTGAACTGGTTCGCAAAGGTGGGCGAATGAACCACAAATGCTGCTGACGGTTTGCCAAACGTTCAGCCCCGCCATCGTTGGCGACATGTAGTAAGCTGGGGGGGGGGGGGGGCGCGAGAGGTGTGAACATGAGAGGGGTCGAGATGAGGAGGCGGCTGGGGGTGGACATGCAACGGGAGTGCCCGATCACGGCGTCGATGTAGTGGGGGGGGGGGGGGGGTATGAGTAGGGCAGTGATGTGTGATCACATGGTTGGCACTCATGCCATGCGACCGCGTCGCAGACTACATGCGTTTTCACGCAGCCGAGTTGGTTGAGGGCTGAGAGAACGCAGCTTGTAAGCTGCGGCGCGCGCGCGTGTGTACGCGACTATGCCTGCCATG